CCCTGAATATTTAGCTGCAGAAATTTCTCCTATTTTATAGAGTCCATCTGTGTGTACATGGCAACTTGAGGCTGCATAACCCAGAGATCAGTTGAAAATAAGTAATTCCTCTCCCCTGTAAATAAAGGGGAGCATGTCTTTGAGTCTCAGATCAAAATCAGTGCTTTGGTTTAGTTCAAAACATAACTTGGACATTCACAGCAGCATCAGCTCAAGTTTTTCTCCTGAAAAATTCTTCAGTGAATTCTTCATGAATTGGATAGGCCGTGTTTATAATGTACAAGGAGACTCTGGACGAAGCTGTTAGTAGTTTAGAGTTCAGTTAAATTCTGTGCGGTTTTGAAACTTGAAGTTTCGAATTATATTTTTCACAGCTCCGCTGATGAGGCATTTCATTAGCATTGGAGCCTACACTGGCTGAGAAATCACCTTTTACCATAGGTTCCTTGTGTGCATTTGAACTCCTTTCACTTTTATTTTTTCCATCTGATGGAATGGATCTTTCTCCTTCTCCCATCACTGTTGTTTTCTAAGAATTCTGTCACACAACACAGCATCTTTTATTTTTCCACGAAGACTTACCAGGTCAAAAAGAACCTTTTTTTAGAGTTTAAAAAATTATAATTGCGGTATGAAAAAATTACACAGAAAATCCTATCTAATGCTAGATTTTTAAGCCTCTTAAAACAGTTCTATCCCATGACTTTGGGTTTGCTGGTGACAAATGTTTTATGGGCATACTTTAGTAGACACCCATCTAAAATCTGGTCTTAATAGTCAGATCCTAAATTGGAACCAGAGGGGCAGAAAAACCAGATTTGAAACGTGTTTCTAAGGGTTTGTTTTTACTTTCAGTTGAGGCTGCCTTCTCTCATCTTTTGTAGTGCTGTCAAAAGGGCCACTCTCATGGTTGTTCAAACTCCATGCTGCTTGACAGGAACAGTTGGACCCCTCTTCAATGATTTTCAGATGAAACGGCTTCCAAACCTCCAGAGCTTTAACTTGTAGTTATTAGGCTCTTTGAAATAGCAACACATTAATCAGCTGAAATCAAGTGGCCCTTTCTCCAAGGCTGTGATGTTGCTGTTCTCTTCTAGGTAGAACTCAAGTCTAAATATTATTTTCAAGAGCACTTCCCCCCCCCCCCCAAGATGTGTCTATCTCATTTCTGTTTCTATTTTGATAATTGTTTTATAATGCTGTGAATTAAACTTCTATAATAGTTTCAAGTAGTCTCTGTAGTTCTATTATAGTCTCAGATTGCATTAAAAGGAGTAACACAGAAGGCTGGCTTCCACTTGTTTGACTTCTTTTTTTTTCTTAGAAATTGGCTACTGTCCTTTTAACTTCTCTCATGGACAGTATGAAGCCCAGCAGAAAAGGTGCCAATGATGTAATGGATTATGTCTGACACAACTTGGTCTAATGATGATGTGAAATATTGGAAGAAGTATGTTTTGTTAAAATTGGATCATTTCAAACAGGAGCTTGCTTTCTGTCCCTGCCTTCTGTGCTATTAAGTGATCTAAACCTGTTAATGACTTCCCTTACCAGCCTAGGGACTATAAGAAGTCTAGAAGATCTTGTTCCTCGCAGTAGCTGTTGTTTACATCAGCACCCGAATCATTCTTGAGTTTCGGCAACAGGTATTGCTAAGAAAATAATTTAGGGAGGATAATGCAGGAGCTTCTTCCAGGCATAAGGTGTCACTGGGGAGAAAATAAGACCATGCATGATTGAGAACCTTGTAATTTGGGGATGGACTTCTGTGCCACAGGCTGCTGATGCTGCAGTCAGTGTCAGAACTGTGTGAGAGTTGATAAAATAGGACCTGGGCCTTTTTGGGGTCTGCTTTGAAAACTGATGCTGCAGAACTACTCAAAAGGCTGTTAGGCTGCAGGAATATTTCTATTTGCTTTATAAACACCCTCTGAACTTCTATCATGTACTCTATGTTCATAGCAATCATTTCCCATACCTCCGAGGCGAAATAATTTCTGAATAGCTAAACTAATTTGTCTTGTGTCTGTGTTGTGTCACAGTAATGAAAGTTCCCTCTACTGTGGCAGCAGAAGTAGAGCAACTCCTCCCAAGGAGATGTGGGAGCTCTATCAAAGCATCACTGAGTTGTAACTCAGCAGCTGATTACCCAGGCAGCATTAGAAAGGACATGGCAGTGTGCCTCAGCTATCAAATGAGACTACAGTGAGATTTTGTAATTAAGTTTTAAGTTTTATTTAAGGTCTGAAACTTAATAATACACAAAATGTACTGTTGGATCTAAAATCACCAAGGTCTTGATTTTATATCTTGCCTAAATGACCTGTGATTGCAAGGTTGCATTATGCTTACAACTGAGCAGAGTGATGTTCATACAGGATGGTGACAGATGCACTAAAATTGGTTCAAGTCCTGCAACTGAATGAATGAAGAGAGGTTCTTCAAGAGCTTCATTGACTCCTGTAGGACTCTGCCTAGCTGACTGCTGCTGGAGTCTTTTTGCTGCGTTAAGAGAAGACTGAGTTTGCTAATACCGCAGGGAGGTGATGTAAATGCAACCTCCTCCAACAGGCTGGAGCAAACCTTTTGAATTAATAGCTGGCAATGTAAATTTCCATGAAGGAGTTTATATAAGGATCAGATGTATATTTTTACATGTCTATTTTTATCTGTCTATGCATGCCTGTGACAGATATCCGTATTGATGTGTACAGCAGCAGGTCCTTGTTCTTTAGAGTGATGTTTGAGGTAGGACAGAAGCTGGTATCACCTTCACTTTGTCTAACAAAGCAGGTAGAGATTCATCCTAGGGGGTTGGAAAAGCTTCAGAGGAACTTGTTCACATTAGACCTTTTCACTTATGGAAGACTTTTTAGCTTGGAATATCATAGTTTTTGAAGTCTTTATTAACTAAAGCCGTGCGAGACTCCTGTAGGACAGATCAGGTACCGTGCCTTCTTGGCTGGGATTCTTGTGTTTCTGTTGCCTTGCATACGTACAAAACGTGGCTGTTGGAATCATTATCATTTAGAATTTTCTTAGCGTTCTGAAAAGCAGGATCAAAAAGAAGAAACAAATCAAAACCAAATCCTCTTCTACGTTCCTACACTGCAAATCAATAGTATGAGGATATATTGTCTGGATGTCAGCCCATTTTGTAAATTAATATATCTCAGATTGTTTTACTGGTCTACAAATGCCAAGAACAGGATGACAGTCTCATTCCTTGCATAGTAACAGCTAACGTAAAATCAGATTCACTCTAGAAAATGCAACTGCTCTTTGGGCAGGGTTTACGGATGTAGTCATTGTTTCTTGGTTTATGTTTGGCCCCTGGTAGATATTATCTGGCCACTTGTCTGATGTCAAACACGTCTTTTTGTTTAAAAGTTACAACAGCTGCTGCTTTGTAGGGGTATAAATTCTTACCCCACTGAATGCAGTGGGAAGTGCTTCTTTGGTGCACTGTGGTTAGATTGCAGTTCCATAACACAAAATATATTGCCATAAATATCCTAATCCACAAGTTACCTTTATATGTAGTGTCTGACAGGCCAAGGATGAAGGGAGGAAGAGATTTAGCTTTCTGATCACCTGTAGTGTTTCCACTTTGTTGCAGTTTGAGACATTAAATGCTGGGCAGCATTACAGGCTGCCCAGAGAGGTTGTGGAGTCTCCTTCTCTGCAGACATTCAAAACCCGCCTGGACGCCTTCCTGTGTAACCTCATCTGGGTGTTCCTGCTCTGGCAGGGGGATTGGACTGGATGAGCTTTTGAGGTCCCTTCCAATCCCTAACGTTCTGTGATTCTGTGATTAACTGGATCTGACTAATTTTCACCTACCTGTATTATTCTAAAACTGTGATTTTTGTTTCTGATCATTCCAGGTTCCTTTGGGGGAAGAAAAATCAGATAAATGTGTTTGTGCCATGTCTTTAAAGGAAATTGTTTAAAATAGCTTCAAGTTACTACCAGCATTAGGCAGTTCTTCTGGAAGCAGTATGTATGAGTAGAAAAGGAAATGGGATCACAACTTGCATTTTATGGCAGTTCTGGATTTAGTTTATTAACTTTGCGTTGCCAGCCACGCCAAGTCTGGAGTCTGTTTGGGTATCATTGGTACTTGTAAGATAGGATTGCAGTTTAGCTTAGTACAGTTTTGGGTTTTTTTAAATCCAAAGTGCTTTTTAAATTCCCATCATCTTAGTTACGTGTTTTGCTTATCCTGTTTTGCAGAACAGAACTTCAAAATTTGGCTTCTGGTTTTGCTATTAGTGAATTTTGTCAGATGCCACTCCAAAGCACAAGCCCCTACCTCTGGGCAGAGAGATTCCAAATGTACAGCAAAATCAGAATATGCTGTGCTGGAAAATGGCAAGGGTATAGAAATGGAAACTAGGCTTACTGGATCTCTTTCTAAAATAATTCATTCCATGCAACCTAGAGCCTTGACTTCTGGAAGGCGATGGTCCATTCTCTGTGCTGCTGAGCCAAGAACATAGGTGGATTAATGGTGAAGATGCTTTTCCTGATAATTCCCTGTGGAGTGACGGGGGAGCTGGGTGGCTCCTGTTGCACAAGAGGAAGAAACTCTCTAACTTGTGAAAGACCTGCTGGAAATTAGGGTTTGATGAAGTGGAGTGGTTTTACCTCTATAAGTGGGTCTGTTATGCACTAGCACGAAGGACAGAGGGCTTTCAGGCTTGAAGGGGTCCCAGGAAAGTGCGAATAAAGCCTTTGGACTAACCTGATGTTCGTGGCCTTGTACTTCACTGGAGACAGGGAGGAGAAGCTAACAAATGGCAGCCTAATGGATCCAAACAGAATAGAAAGAGAGCACACTTTACGAGCAGATTTTCTTTGCCAAAATAATAATATGAATGAGGTTAACAGAGATTCAAGGATGAATGTATGTAGGGATAATGACTGAAAGGCCTTCTGGTATGTCTTTCTCTTTGCACTCCTGTATGTATTCCCTTCTGCTGCTTTATTTCTCCCAGGTATTTGTGGTTACCGTCTGGAGCGTGGAGCTGTACATGGTGCCCCTGGCTCTGCTGGTGCTCTTTGCATACAACTTCTCCCTCATCACAACAGGGAAGGTCAACAACACCCAAGATGCCCAGGCAAGTAGAGTGGCAGTAACATTTCTGGCAGCCTGAGCTATAATTTGCCCTTGAGCAAAATGTCATGCATTTTAATGGTATTAAGCTAGTTGTGTAGCTAAACAGCATTATTATTTCGAAGTTACTGAAAAGAAACCTCAATCCTCACAATTTACAGGATTCAATTCAAGGAATAAACCAGTCAGAGTAGCAGGAGAAGATGATGGGAATGTGTAGAAGGGAAGTTTCACTTGCTACATAACTACAAATGTTTTTAACTAAGTTGCATTAAGAAAGACTTACAAAGCGACAAGTCCCCAAAACCCGTGCCCCTACCGCTCTTGCACTCTGCATTGCACTGATGGTTCATGATTCACAGAAGAGGAAAGTCAACAGAAGCTGAAAGAGAAGTCAGTTGTTTTTAACCCTTGTCCTGTGATCTGAGGCTTGAAGAAGCCCTTATTCCTCCTCCCCGCTTCCTACTTCTAAATGACAAATGCTTTTTTGCCCCCCCCCCCAAGTTAGCCTCCAGTTTTTTACCTTGATCTGGGAGAAAAATGAGTTTTAAATACAAAAATAATTACAACGTGTGGCAAAGCTCCACTGTTGGGATTTGAAATGCTCTTTGATGTTGACCGCTGTTTTACTTGCATAACAGTGCAGTGGTAATTACAGTTAGAAATGACAGTAAATTCATGAATGTCCATAATATTCTGTTTTAAAATGTGTAATAAGTACATTAAGGAAATACAGGTCAAATTATAGCTCCTTTCTAACCTTTTGGTAAAAGAATGATTGACATTTGTACCTTTGAAGGATACCTTTAGCCAAACGAATCACATGGATTTTATGCAAAGAATAATATGCCTGAATTAAAAAGATCGATAGCTGTTTTAGTTTTAGTGATAAAAGTTGCTCCCAGTTCAGTTTTCATCCGTTCCCAAGTGGAAAGATTGTTAGAACTTAGGGAAAGTTGCATTATCCAGGCTACAGCATAGATTTGAAGACAATGGTAAAATAAATGCTCTTCTTCAATTTCAGCCAAGTCCAGAATAATGTAGAAAGATATTGTGTGTCAGTGACTATTTAATCAAGAAAATGAGAACTTCCCATGTAGAAAAATCCCAGGCAAACAGCTCACAAAAGGCGACATAAAATAATCATAATGTGCCCAGGAAAATATACACAGAGAATACCTTCCAGCAGCCATCACTCATCCTATGTTGAGTTTGTTGCGTGGTCAAGTGAGGGTGCGAGTCTCACACAAGTCAGCCAGATTGAGCAGTACATCGTTCAGGTGGATGCTGCTAAAAGGGTGTATCTGAAAATACAAGTTGATTGTAGTGGTACTGAAGAAAGGTCCATCAGGAAGTTGGCCCTTTTCCTGTCCTGCGAGCAATGCGATGCCATGAAATTCAGGGGTGCTTTTTGCATAAGCAAAGCTACACATCTGCCCAAGTGCTTTGCAGGATTGGGATCATATGGAACAAGTAGTCAAAGTGCCTTTAATATTACCTGATTTCTTTTTTATGTGTGTCTGTGATTCTAACCATCTGTAGGTCAAAAATAGACAATCAGGTGCTACCCTTAGTCACATCTGTCCTGCAGATGAGAAAAGGTTTTCTTCAAAATACCAATGCTTTTTAAACAGTCGTTTGTTTATTTTTTGCTGCTTCAGACCTTGGCTGCATGTGCTTTACCTTTAGTTGCATGTGTATTTCATGTATATGGAGGAATGCGAGCAACAGTCTTTGCAAAATTGGACCTCAAATTCTCTCTGATTTCTGTGCTATAAAATGGGGATAACAGTATTAACCTTGTACATGTGATTCGGTTGCCAGGAGGCTAAATTCATGAATATTGGTAAAATGGTTTATGGTTTACAGATGGAGAGCTTCTATAGAAATGTAAACCGTGATCAGTGTTAATTCAGCTGCTCAAGGTCTTCCAGAGAGCCATAGATTAAATCTGGGTGTCTGAGCTCTTAGTGCCTCCTGCATACTTGATGCAACTGCTTTTCTGGAAAAAATAAATAAATAGGCAAAACCCCAAAATAAAACAGAAAAAAGCCCCCGAACCTCCCCCCCCCCCCCCAAAAAAAAAAACCCAACCCAAAAACCAACCAACAAACAAAAAAACACCAGACAAATCCGGAACATCTTTTATTGTGATTCTTCACATTCTTTGCATGTTTGCTGTATTTAAACTTGTAGTACACTGATTCAGATCTACCTATTAAATAACCAAGAAAAACTCAGAGGACCCTGTTAAAGGCTGAGTTTATTAAATAGCTGAATTGAAAGCCAAGTGCTCCTAATTTCAAGCTTTAGCCAAGTCTTTTGTTTTCTCCCCTACCTGTCAGCATAGAAGTTAAAGGGAGGAAATAATGCTGCATAGAAATCTGACTGGGCTTCATGAGATTGATTATGTTCATACTAATGTATTTTCTGAAGTCTGATGTTTCAGTAATGGCCCTAAAGGGAGGGAGCAGTCATTGTAGCAGTGAGGACGGAACAAGTTGAGTATAGAGTCTTCAGCCTTGACATCCTGGCTGGTTCATTTGTCAGACTAAGAACAAAGCTGTTTACAGATACTAAAAGTTGGCAATGAATTTAAAAGCCAGTTGCCTTCAAACTACTGGACACAGCCAATAATGCTTTGTTTAGACTTAAAATTTGTATAGGATATTGCATGCTTTGTTCAGGATATCACACACAAAAAAAGAAGGTAGTCCTTGAATACAAAGCCTCATTTCTGAAAGGTGGAGGCGGTGAGTTTTTTTGATTACATGCAATAGAAATGGGAGAGAACTCTGTAATGAAATGTTCTTGGAGTATCATAAGCTTTTTGAGCATTGTCTGTCACTGAAAAATGAGTGTAATGTTTTGTAATATGGACATCTGCTTTTGCAGGAGCTTATGGGCTTGGATGAAGATGAGGATGAAGATGATAAGGTAAGCATATTGCACGATTGTGTTAGCTAGAATCAGAAGGAAAGTGGGAGACTACAAACCCATCATCCTGTCTCCATGAGATCTTCATTTATTATCTGCATAGTATATATAATATATATCGTTATTAACTGGGAAAACAATTGTTGCTAGTTCACTGATTGGCAGATTTGGGTATATGGAAAGATTGGTTTATGTAACATTCAACGGTGGCGTTGCCTACGTGAGACCTCACAACATTAAATCTGGGCAGTCCCCAGTTTGTGCTTGAAACCATAACAGACACATCTTCACGTGCACTTATAGATATGTGTCTGGGTGACACGGTGCAGAGATATGTACGAGTGTGTAAAATCCCCCGTCACCTCCATTTCGAGTGTTGGATGACATTCTGTACCAGTGGCTTTTCCCAAATGATTTGGCATTTCCTCTTCTGTAGGCCAGAATTGGTGTGATTTGTAGAGGACTGGTTAGAATTTTCTCAGTATTTCTTTCAGAGCCTGGGAGAAAAATGGTTTTAGTTCATCAGCTGAAATGTAGAAAGAATTGGAATTGGCAAGGCCTGTTTCTTATTTTATTGGAGTGTACTTACTCATTCTTCTCACTATGAAAATTCATTGGATTTTTTTTTCAAGTTTATCAAACCACAGCGACAAATGATAAAATTATTAGAGGGCATGACATACGAAGAAAGATTAAGAGAACTTAATGTATACAGCTTGAGAAAACATAAGTACGTGAAGGAGGATCTGATAATCTATAAATACTTTAAAGCTAAAAGGTGAGGAATTATTTAACAAGCAACAGCATGCAGAGGAACATTAGCTGTTAGAAGGAAAATGTTCACAAGGAGATGTGAAACTTTCAGATTGCATACTAAGTTAATAAGCCCCTTCTTGAATATTCTATGTTTTAAGACTTACAGTGAAACTGTTGATCATTGAGAAGTAAATCAACACCACAGTTAGCAAGTGCACCTTAACTCTTCTCGGTCACAGACACTAGAATTAAAGCTTAGTAGACTAACTGTGGGAAATAGTGATTTAAATTTAACTGGCTCTTCAGTGGAGACTGTATTTTAATGAGAAACCAGAAATCCATCAAAGTTACAAAGTGAACTTCAGACCTGTTGAATTACAAGTTTCTTGCAACACACAGTAATTGTTTAAATGCTCTCATTTATAATTCACTCTTTGCACTGTAAAATTGGTCAACTAAGTGGACCAATATCTGGAACTCATCAGAAGTTGCATCTTTTTAAAAGGAATACTCCTAACAGTAGATAAATTCTATTTTGTTGGTACCCAAGATAGACGCTTGTAAATGTTGACCTTGCATCTTATTTGTGCGATGCTTAAATGTGTAACTTATTCACTGGAACCAATCCCATTTACTTTCTTTTTAATATTCCTCTTTTTCATTTGCAAGTGCTGAGGTGGGGAGAGGAAAAAAAAAGTAAAAAATGTATTAAATAAGTATTTAATCCTCTGTTTCCTGTGCTGTGCAACGGATTCAATGCTGCAAAGCTGAAATATTCTAGGTTACATTTACCCTAGGTTTATCTCCATTGACTTTGGTTCTGTCTATAGGTACGACTAGGTCACTTAAATATGGTTGTAATCACTTCACATTTTTGCCCCACCCTCACTAAACAGCTTCACTGTCATTCTCTTTCTTGGTTTCTTTGGGAAAACTCCTGAGAGTCAATGTTGAGCTGCTGCTGGTTTGGCCCTACCATGTTGTGATCAGCGTTACCTCTATCTCTATTTCACACATGCACAGAGGCTCTTTAAAAGGAGGAGCTGGTGGCACTGCCTAAAGCTACGGGCAGTAGACACCTCCACAGAATCACAGAGCGTTAGGGATTGGAAGGGACCTCAAAAGCTCATCCAGTCCAATCCCCCTGCCGGAGCAGGAACACCCAGATGAGGTTACACAGGAAGGCGTCCAGGCGGGTTTTGAATGTCTGCAGAGAAGGAGACTCCACAACCTCTCTGGGCAGCCTGTTCCAGTGCTCTGTCACCCTCACTGAGAAGAAGTTTCTTCTCAAATTTAAGTGGAACCTCCTGTGTTCCAGTTTGTGCCCATTACCCCTTGTCTTATTATTGTTTGTCACCAAGAAGACCCTGGCTCCAGCAGGCTTTCTCATCAAAATAACACTTTATATCCCAAAATTACAGCAATAATCATTCATAACTTGTATTAATTGATACACCAGTGTCTATGAAATTCTGACAGAATTGCCAGGAAAGCCGGCCACTACGTGTGTCCCATGTCAGGTGTTGTGCAGCATTGCCTTAATGTCTTTGTCCTGGCCTGGGTATATCCCCGTTGCATCAGTGATGGACCATGCTTACACTGATTTGCATCTTTAAGTACATTAGGTTATTCTAAGTGACTTTTCCAAGTCTGAGGGTGGCCAATGCTCTCTAGGGAGTGTAAGACAAATGTAATTTTATGACATTATCTCATGGCAATGTCAACATTTAAACAGACAATTCTACTTTTAAAAAGAAGTCTGTGTATTTTTTTCCCCTCCCTAATACAAGAGCTCCTTAAGTTGAAATCTGTTAGTTGGCTTGTGGTATACGAGGTCACTGTTTCTGTTTCCTATCATCCTGCTGTATCAAAATACTCGCACACATAGCCCTTCTGGGTTCTGCTGCATGTTAGACATAACAGACCACGCTTCTGGGAATTGTAACACACCCTCTAAGAGATGGACTGTTTACAAATTATAAATACACAGACGCTTAGTTCAAAAACCCAAGAGCAGATTAACTCCCTCCACCTAAACTATCTGTCTTAAATGACAGGGCTTAATTGCCAGCTCTCCCTTTCTTTCCCCCTCTCCCCTCCCCAAATACCAGCGTGAAGGACCGTAAAAGATAAGAGAGCTCTGTCCCTTTGGCACAAGCTGTTCGGTGGATAAATGCCTTCTCGGATCCGTGCCATCTTGGACATAGAGTTCAGGCTGCGTCGTGTCAGCTCTGGGGTCTGTCAAGCTGTCTGAATAAGGATTGTTTTAAAATTACATCACTGAAACATCTTTCTCCCACCGGTAGAAAGGTATAGACAAGTTACATGCAGCTCAGAATGTCAGTGGTCTGATCATTGACCATTTATATTTATTTTTACTTTTTTTCCCCCCCTCTTTTTTGACGACGACTGTAGAGTTTACCAAGCAGTTACCTCATTGAATGAGGGTATCCATAGCACCCGACTGGAAAGAGTCCTGGGGTCTTCTCATGATCTTAGTTGTCTGGATAAAACTTTGCATCTCCTCCAAACCAGACAAAACTTAAATTACTGCTATTTCCAGGTCTGTTAATTGAGTCAAAAGAAATCAGAGACAAAACTAAATCAAAAACATTTCCTGTTTGGTTTTTTTTTTTCTTGGAGGGTTTCTATGTGGTGGTGAGCCAGCATAGCCCTGCTTGGCTAGTGGGATGTAATAGGGAAGGATCGGATGACTCTGTGGCTTTAAGTCAAGTTATTTGGCTACTTCCAAGAAATTGTTTAGTGTCTCCTGTATTGGAAAAAAGAGAATTGGGGAAAAAATCCCCAAAGAAGAAAAATGCAGTGTTTCTAATGTAGGAAATTCTCTGTCAAAAATAGGTACCAAAAATATACAAAGTTTTATGAGCACAGTTCAAAAAGACTCCAGCCGAACAAATTAAAGTCAAATTCATCCAGTAGCAAACAGCTGACATTTTCCATTTGAGTTAGATTCAGCATGTGGAAACCTTCCGTATGGATCTTATTTGTACGGGTGGATTACGATGAAAATTGCATTAATTTTCTCCGCAGTAAAGGTCAGTAATTGAAACATGAACCAAGAGTCTATTGTGTAAGATGCTATATCCCCATACTTAGGAAAGGTCATTCAAGACAATATCATCTCATTGTTTTCTTCCCTGGAAGTATAAATAATTTCATTAGTTTTTCTTTTTCTCTTCAATACAACAATTGCAATATAATATTTCAACATCTCCCATTAAGACTGCTGAAGAGAAATGGTAGTAAAAAACCTGAAAATACCCCACGGTACACAGGGTGTGATCAGACTAACAAGGAGCACCCACCTTCTCCACAGAATTACGAGCAAGATCATGTCCCAAGAAACCTTTCAAGGTGTGTTTTTTGTGTAGGTGTGGATTCCTGTGCTGGGGTTTTTTGTTTGTTTTGTCTTAAATTACTATTCTTTCTTCAGTTGTCTTTTTGTGTCTCCTCTCTCTAATGAGTCTGTGCACGGACCCTGAGTATCTTAGTGATGGAGAAGCCCAAGAGGCAGATTCTGCTACTTGCCTGAGCTATGCTTGGTGCAAAGCTGGAGGATGCTTCTAAGCATGTCTTGCAACCATCTTGACTAAAGTGTAATACAAGTTTCCAGGTATCACTTAAGACACAATTACAACTTCTGTAAGTTTTCTCCAAGCTTCTTATTATCCTTATTTACTTCTGGTTAAGACAGAGTGCAGGGGTTGCTCTGGTTGTCCTTTGCTCTTTGCTTGTGAGCCTCCTATGTGCAAGAAACTGGAAGATAAACGGTCCGTGGTGTTGTTTAGGATTGCTCTTACCCTTAAGCATTCCATAAATTGGCACAATCCTTGTCCCACCATCATGATCCACCCACTCATAGGTTTAGGAGTGATTATGAGTGATGATCCAGTACTCTGTCTCGTCACCACGTGATTGTTCTCAGGTCTTGTGTATTTCCAGGAGAAAGCATTTCTTTTCACCAAAGTTGTTTTCTTTCCCTTTTTAAAATCAAAGATGACTGATGACTTTTTATCTCCATTCAGGCTGCTTTCTTGTTGCTTCTTATGCATGTGTTCCTCACCTGAATGGTGTTTTGTTCCCTTGTGAGTACTGGTATTGCTTTAAGACCTGTAGCAATACCACGTGTCTTTGTGTTACTTTACATCCCTATGAAAAGTACAGAAAACGCCTCTTAAACCTCCTGCATTTCACACCTGTGCAGAGGGAAAGCAGAGTTATGA